AGTGACTGCCGAATGACTGGTACATCACATGCCTCTAAACTTAGAGAAGACAAACACTCAATTCAAAGTATAAACATTAAAATCCAGCCAGGCTCAAAATTTTGACTGATCATCTTATTCCTTATCTTAAGCAACGTAACCATACTAAATCCACTAAAGTTTAACAAATTTTAACCTATAAATAAAAATGTATTTTCAGGAACTTTCAGGAACAGCACTACTCAATCCAAGAATTTGAATACCCTTTGACCTTATTTCAAGTTTGCAAATTCTTATAAATATTATTTTACTTAATTCAAATTTTTAATTATTTTTTCTATTTGAACATCAATATTAAATTAAAATTAAATTTAAAATTAAGAAAAATGATAAATGCGTAAACTTATAACTTAAGAAAGCAATCTTATTTAAACTATAAATCCTATCAGAGAATGCATTGACTCGTACTTATTTTAGGTATTCAAAATATTGTTCCCTTTACAAGCAAATTTTTTTATTTAAAATCGAGTAGGATTCATACTTAATTTTAGCATATGCAATAACTAAGTTAACAGTACTTTGATCCAGATCAGATTTGGCATGGCGATTTTCTCTGAGTGTACGGGCGGGTGCCGGCTTTAAGCTTTGGCATTGCTGTTGTTATTGTTTGAAACGCAACAATCAATTGCATGCCGGAGAGGGCTGATTGATTTGAAAAGCTTTTGCGTGTAGCTTGAGAAAAAGCTACAACCGAGAGCTTTCAAACCGGTTAGTGGCTCGAAAGCTCGCGGCGCATGAGGTAAGCAGCGCGATCGGCGTGAACGCCGCGCACAGAAATGAGCGTGAAGACTTTGTGAACGGTTCACAGCGGACGAAACATAGAAGCAAAGTGCGCAAGAAAAAGAAAGAGTGTGATAGAGAGAGAGAGAGAGAGCGAGTGAGCAAGAGAGAACGAGCAAAAGAATGTGTGTGCGTCTGTGTGCGAAAGAGAGCAACAAGTTTGCAAGTGGAAATTTTAACAATAAAATGCTGTGAAACACAATAAACTCGCCTCAAGGCAAAATCAACGCATAAAAATAAAACAATAATTATAAAATATGCAGCTAGCAAAAATAAATACAAAACAACTACAACAGAACATAAAATACCCACAAACAAAATAACTATCTAAATGCACATTTCGAGCACAACTCTTGGGAACAACAAAAAATATAAAAAAAACGAATTAAAATTTGAAAATAAAAAAAATTAAAACACACAAGTGAAAGATAGACAGAGAGAGCGTGTGCAGCGGCGAGTGGCAGAGTGAGACAGTGTTAGACTTTCGCAGCAAACGTTGAATTTTACACGCACACATCGCAGATACAAAATCCGAGATACCTTTTAAAAGATACAATAAACAAGCAAACTATTTCTCACAGTTCTGATTAGCGCTGAAAAATTTTGATGCAAAAAATGGAGTATGAGAAAATGCTGTACATGACAAGCGCTGGCGAGGTGAGTGTAACTAGCAACCGTAATATATAAATAGATATAGATACAAAAGTATCTACAGTTGTTTGTGTGTAAAGTCTAGCTGTTAGTGGGTGCTATTTGAGTATAGTAAGCGCTTGTTAGCTTTGACAGCTGATAACCTATTCACTTGCGCTTATCAACACTGAAATGAGCAAAGTGTGTGCGAGTGCGTGTGTGTGTATGTGGGTTTGTATTTGCATCTTTTCGTGTGCTGTTTTGTGTATATATGCTCAAATAATTTGCGCAATTGCCCTGAAGCATATGGCGGCTGATAATGTTTTTGGCAGCCATATGCGATGCTTATTAACGTTGGGGCGCCACAAACAGCCATCATATGACTTTTAATTAGCAAAATTACCAACACACAGATACACACATGTGTGTGTGTGTGTGTGTGTGTGTGTGTGCTGGCGTGTGTATATACTAAGTAGGTGTGCTGTAGCTCTGACAACAGGCACAAATGAGTGTCACTAGGTGAGAGTCTGCACTGCGTCGCATTGTCTGCCATATGCTAGTGGCTGTTGTTGCTGCTACACTTGCCAGTTACATTTTCCATTTGTCTTATGGCATTTCGTTTTAATTACAACAACAGCAACAGCCGCAGCTATGTGAAGGCATCAAACGCTGGCAGCAACTTTCAAAAGATGCTTTCATTTTGCAAGAAGTGATTCTAAATGATTGTCAACTATGGCAAGGCAACAATAACAGCAACAGCAACAACTACAACAACAACAACAACAACAACAACAGCAACACCAACTAGCTGCAACAATGTCAAGCTGGCATTTCACTCGGAAAGTGCATTCCAATGCTGCTGCAGCAGCAGCAGCATCATCATTTGACAGACAGACGCACATCAGGCCGCGGCAGATAGTTTTGTTGGACCTACTTAAGCTCTATATAAGCTTTATACGCAAGACTTTGACGTCTGCCACAACAACAACAACATCAGCGAAAAGGAAAAAAAACTTGTATTTACCATTTTTGATTGATTTGATGGAAATGTGTCTGCTGCGATTTTGTACGTCGTCGTTGTCGTGGCTTGTTGGCCTTCTCGCGTTTTCCAACCGCTGGACAACGTTGTTTTAGAAATGTGCATTTCGAGTGGTCGACCACAGTCGACACTCTCCGAATGCCTCATTATATTTATGGACATAATAAAATAAATACTGCGGCGCAACAATTAAAAATGCAAGCGCATTTGCCGCTTTCGCAGCGAGCGAAAAGCAAAAGAAGTCGAAATAAAAAGCAGAAATAGAAATGCAAGAAAAGCTAAAGAAAAACTGACATGACATAAATATTTCAAGCAGCCAACTTTTCCATCAGAATCCATCAATTGGCCAACAGTCGCTGCGACTCGGACTCGGAGTCGAACGCCGACTAGAGACTCGACTTTGTTGGCCCTTTAGCCATTTGGCCACGGTTTTCTAATAATAGTTGAAAATCAATCAAACTCATTACACAATGTAATCAGCTTTGGCTTGGCTCTGGCATTTTGGGGTGTGGCTGCGCGCACCACTTGCAATGGCTAACCACAATGCGAATTGTTGTTATTACTTATGTGCGATACACTCAGAGAAAATCAAGCATTTTGCATTTACGCTAAGTACAAACATGGAAAAAACTAAGTCAATATCAACATTTTATAGACTATGAACTTTATTTATTATTTTATTCACTTTCTCTATCCCGAAATAACTAAATTATTTTTCAAAAATTTTTAAGATCTCAAAATTTCGAAATATAAGAGAGAAATTAACGAAAGAAATTAATATATTTGTAAACTTATTAACAATTTTTTAAAGCTAACAATTTTTAAGGAAAATTGTGCCTCTCGAGCCGCATTATTTAAAGGGTTAGCATTTAAAAAAAATGTTCACCTTCCGTTTGAAAACTTTTATACTTATTTCAAGTAATAAAATTCTTGGAAAAAGTATTATTCTTAGTTCTAAATTTATTTTCTCTTAATTTTGAAAACTTATATAACTTATAATTTTAAAACCAAGAATATCTTGTATTTTAATCCAGAATATTTAGAACTTTCGAATAATGCAAATTCTTAGGTTAAAATATTTTTTATATCTGAAAATATGAACTTAAATTCTAGAATGTTAAAACACTTTTGGAATTATGCAAATTCTAAGGTTAATATTTGTTTTATCTGATAATTTGCAATCAAGAGAAACTTATACTTAATTCTACAATATTTAAGTCTTTTCTGGATCATGCAAATTCATAGGATAATATTTTTCTTAATCTGAAAATGTTAAATAAAGAACATACTTAATTATAGAATATTAAAGATTTAATTGATGTCTATGTATAGAAGCCCAATAAAAAACACCCATTCTAAGAATATTTGTACGTCTGTTGAGAAGTTTTTATGATTGTTTTAAGCGCTGGCATTAAGAACGTTTTGTGATTATTTAAGGCATTCGATTTCTTGTAATAGGTATTTTGTCTTAATAGTTAAATAACATTTGCAACAATTTTTAAATCAAAAATAGCCATGAGTTATGTTGAGAATACTCTAGAGTGAAATGTTCCCGTAAATTTTAAGAACCGAAAGTTATGCAATTTACTCTTACTAGCATAAAGAACAACGAATTTTTCTGAGTGTATTGATAATTGTTGCCTTTTGATGTGCGTTGCAAGCATTCGCAATTCGCGTAAATGTCGCCCGACTCTTATGCAAATTGAAATGAGTTACCTGAGTTAACTGAATTGGCTGAGCTGGCGCAATGTCTTTTCCACAGAATAATTGTCAATGCGTGCATTGCATAATGAGCAGCACCAGAAGACATCAGCCATCAGCCATTAGCCATCATTGGGCCAAGAGTCTGATAGAGTTCAGTGCCTAGACATTGGGCTGGGCATTTCAGATATGAGTGTCCCACGCTGTGGGTGTATTGGTGTCTGGTTGTGTGTATGTGTTTGTGTGTGTGTGCCTGTGGTTACATTGCGCTCTGCTGTGTGCTGCCTGAGATGGCTATGAGCACTATCTGGGGTTGTCTAAATAGCTTTGGGAATATTTAATGCCTGCCAAATGGGGAGTTCTAGAGCTTGGAATTTAAATTATACTACATTTTGCACTGTATTCGTGCTCCAACAGAGTTAATTATACTAATAAGCATGAGGTTTGGTTTAGTTCGAAAGCTCCCTTTGTGCTAGCTTTATAAAAATATTATTTATAAATAGCTGCAGTTAAATACTCATAAGATATGTTGATCTTTGGTATTTTCACATATTTGATTGCCATATTTATGCCCTGAAATTTTCATAAAAATCGGACAATAAACTCCAAAGTTATACAACGTCGAATCTGCTGAATTTAGAGTGCGTGGGTGTGTTCTTTATCTGATTGATGGTCAACGTAAAGCCCATGCCTTAAGAGATAGAGTCTGCCAGAGTTGGAAGGATGATTACCTAGGTTCTTGGATCATGCCCAGGCAGATAAGCAAACTTGGTTACGTGGAGCTTCCGACAGATCATTTGGAGCACAAGGCTGAACGAACGAAATGCCTTAGTAGCATTTTCTCTATATTTTAATGAGAATTTCTAGTTTGTAAAAAATGTTAAGTATTCAAAAATCTGGAATAGATTTCGTAATTTGGAAGTAGTAACAGCATGCGGAATGAGGATCGTATAGATAGATCAAGCAGACACCGGCCGTATGACCGAAATTCAAAATTAAGTAAAACTTGTGTCTGCCTCATAATTTTGGGCATTACATTGATTACAGTATTGGGAATATTTTGTGTATTCGCACCGAGGGAATGGTTACAAAAGCTCCGATTTTGAAGGACGGATTCTTCCGATTAATACAATTATGAAACGCGTATGTAGATATGAATATACGTGTATTGATTATTTTTGTGCAGTGTAAATAAATCATCGTATGTATGTATTATACTTCAAATATTTGTATACGAGTATTTTCTATTCAATATTTTCTTTTGGTTTTTCTTATTAGCAAGGAAGAATTGATTAATAGAAAACTTCGAGAATTGGCTAAATAATAGTAAACAGAAGGCGCAGGAAATCAGAACTTTTGGAAAAATTCCGCATCAACATAATCTACCAGAAATTTCAGAAATGTGCGGGGCTATCTATACTTTAAAATGCCGTAAAGTCATGTCAACATTATTGTCATATATAGCGTGCTCAGTTATATTACGATATTCGGCTTTATAATATATTTTATTTATGTGTTATATTATTGTTATTTTTATGCAAATTAGCTTTGCTTTGGTTTTTTTATTCTGGGTAATGCATGAATGTTGTGGTATGTTAGATGCGTATTATTTAGCTTTTAAGATGCCCCTCCTAATGCTCTGAATATGTTGTTCGGATCGAACAGTAAAAACCAAAGTTATTTAGGAACGCATTTCTTGGGCTGTCTTGTGTATGTGTCTCCCCTATTCAGAGCAAAACTGGAAGAACAGCCTTGGGCCTTAGTATTGACACACTTTATGGTGCCATGTTTATATCCTGAATATTTCAATTAAATCGGACAATAAACACCGCAGTTATTTGAGAACGATTTGCTTGCGTATGTGTCTATCAAGGAATAATGTTTTGTGTAGTAGTAGTGACAGTATCTCCGCAAAATTTCTGAAATTTCAGCTATATTCAACTTAAGCATAACGAGACTAAGTGTAAAATTTCTTAGCTATTTATTTTTATATAATTTATTATATTATTAAACAAAATTCAGAGAGTTCTGTTTTCATGTATATTAATGTTCAAGAACGGAACCAATCATTTAAAATAAATAAATAAAAAAAAGTGTCTATGCTAATTACTAGACAACTCTGGTAACTGATAGCTCTAGTTACAGAGTGAACACTAAAAGGTTGCAACCTTTTCAATAGCCCGGAACAGTTGACATATTTGCAACTGCTACAGTTCTACATTTGCATTTAGGCATTTGCATAACACAGAGCCAAGAGAAGCTCAATTGGAGACACGATAGCATAATGGAAAATTTAATCTCTGATCATTTGACTATAAGACTCTAAGTTAGCTTGGAAATGTTAGTGCCGTGTCACAAGTATTTCACCTTGCAATCTATTTGTTGTTGCATGAAATGTCGACAATTAAATGCAATGCAAACGACAAGTCCAAAGACTCAGAACTCAAAACTGCGCCGTCACGAACTGTGATCTATTCAAAAACAAAACAAAATAAAAAAAAAAAAATAAATGAAAAAAGAAGAAAAAAATAATTAACGAGCGTTGTAAAAATAAACAGAAATAAGTCTTGTCGCTGTGACAGCTTAGCCCACGCATACAAGTGCCTGCGAAAACGGCGAGTATCTGCGAGTACGTGTATCTGGCTGTGTATCTATGTGGATTTGTGCACTTATGCTCGTGCCTCTCAACTCTTGACTTGTTGACAACGCTCTAACGCGGCCCGTAACGTAGTAACTCGGGGCTCTTTCTGTCTTTCTGCTGCAGTCATAATGCGATTAGAACAGATTAACCGACAATTGTCGCCGGTCCGTCAGTCAGTTAGTCTATCGAGCTGAACACCTGAGTCTGTTGCTGCATTTGCATAGTTTGTTTTATTTAGTTCAAAAGAGATACAAACACGAATGCATGGGCATATAAAAATATAAATTAATTTAAATAACACTTGGCCATAATTCAACATCAACATCAACTTGGTCATGGCAGCTAAGTAGCACTCAAGGCTGCTGCAATTGCAACCGGCTACCCTTCACTTTGTGGGGGCTATTGGTGGCTAGATGGTGGCAACCTTTTGTCACACATACACATTCACGCAAACACACACATTCGCGCCAAGGCTGTCAGTTGGTTTCTTTGTTCCAGGCCTGGGCGCGCCCCATGTAAAACCGCGCTTAATTTATTTATATAGATCGTGCGCTTGCCTTAGGCGTTGTCCATTTTATTTGTTATTAAGTTGAGAAGGCATAAATATATTTTTTTTTAAATAAATAAGAACGCCTTATTTCGGCGTGTCGAAGCTTGAATACTCTTTTGGAAATGTGGCTTACTTTCGTGAGGAAAATTGTGAAAGTAAAAAAGGTTTGAGAAAAGGTTTCCATGTGAGAACTGACTTTTCCATCGATTCTTTCTACAAAGCTTTAAGATGTATAAGTACGTTCTTGATATTTTATGCTTATATGCAAACTGCATGAAAAGGCTCTTAATTACCAAGCTTGGACAAGATTTCTTCGAAAATTAAAAGGTTTTTTCTAACAAGAACTTGATTATGATACATGATATAGGGTTCCTATCCGAGCTATTCTATCGACTGTTCTGCTGATATTTATTGGGAATATATAATATGTTATATATATATCTATTATATATATTTCAGCAAGGCGTTACATATTTAATGACAAAATTAGTATACCTTCTATAAGGGTATAATCATAAAAAAAAAACTGACTATAAAAGCTAGCGGCCTGTCTGAGTTTTCAGTTCTCGCTTTTGGCGGGTTCTTTGGGCCGCAAGTTTTTATCTGATCGTTGCTTTATTAAAGCTTTTGTCGCTGCTTACAGCAAACGTTCGGCAAACGTAAACTTGATTTGATTATTGGGCTAACACACACACAAAAACACACACAAACAAACACACACACACATGCCACATTCTTCTTCTCGGAATTGTTCTAATGAATTTTGATATTTTATTGTTTTTGCTTTACGGCCAAAAAGTCGAGACAAATTGCTTAAACTTGTTTCTACCGCCTGAGCCCAGCATATTTTCAATTTATTATTGCTCAATATTATGATTGTTGCTAATTTCCAAAGGCATTTATATATATTTTCGTAGCTCTTAAAGTAACATAAAATGTAATCAACAATTTTTGCTACTGGTTGCCGTGTAGTATGTGAATTATTTTGCTTCGTACCAACTCGAGATATGCTCTGAATTTGTGGCCTACGCTGCATCTCCATTATTTACATTTTCATGTATTGTTTTTCTTTTGTAAAAAATTTACACACACAGTGTGTGTGTGTGTGTTTGTGTGTGCTGACATGACTCAGTTATGATTTCATTTTTGTTTTGTTAGATTTTGTTTTTTTTTTGTTTTGCTTTAAGATTTTAATCAGCTAACTGAAGCATTCAACTGAAAGCACATTTTTTAAGGTAAATATTTCGGCTTCTGCTCATCAGTGTCAGCATCATAAAAATATGATTGTGATATAACAGAAAGAGTTGATTTGGTTAGCAAATGCTTTTATCAATCGACTTATTTTATGTAATTGCAGAAAAAAAATAGTTTTTTTTTGCTTGACTAGCAGCAAACCCCTGCGGTAGAGTACCGAAGCAAATCATATAGATACATTAAAAGCTGGTGAGGCAGATTTTTGTTTTATTAAATCTTAATTTTTAATTTAGTTTTCAAGATTATTCTAGATTAAAAATATATACAATTTTAAAGTTTGCATAGTTAATTATCAGTTATGCTATATTTTAAAAGATCAGCTTCCCTTACTAAATAAACTCTCTTATTACTTTGGTTCCGAACGAAAAAAAAATGGAGCCTTTTTTAATTTTAAGTACATATTTATGAATATTCTTAAATTAAATATGATTTTTACTTCAATTCCAAATTGATACAAAATATTAAAAAAATATATACAAAGTATGTAATAATAAATAAAATAAGAAAAAAAAAGAAATTGGTTTATGTGCAAAATACATATAAGAATTTTAGCATTTGTAAATATTATTTTAACACTTCTTAGATTTGATTAATTTTTTTTTAGGCATAATATTTTCTTCAAGTGTATGCAAAAAATGTAAAAGCTTTTTCGGTATTTCTTAGCTTATTCAAAGACCGTTTTTATTTTATGGAGCATGTTTAAATTATTTCAAAAATATTTGTTTACATGTAAGCTCTAAGAGTTTACTCATTAAATAAAATAAAAGTCTCAGCTAGAGATATATATGTTGGGAAATATTAGGCATTTAAATTTATTTTACAAAATTGTCTACGTTTAAAACCACAAATTAAATATAAGTGGTAAAACTAGTAAATGACCTTAAATACGTATAATCCTGTTATATAACATTTTAGTCGTTAAAGTAAACTTTATACCTAAAGCAGTTAATTTTTTATTTAGAATTCAATTCCTTATATAAAGCGAATTAATAAGTATTTTCTGATCTCTACCAAGCGAAAGAAAGCAACTTATCGGCATGGCGGATGCTAAAGAAGATGATCTGATGTCCGATCTTTGTTCGGCGGAGATCATGTTCGCAAAAGCAGCTCACATCTAATTAAAGAGCTGTTTTCAGCCCCATATTATAGATAAATATACTTATACTTATTACTCAATGGACTATATCAACAATATTGAATTACATTAAGCAGCATTAGTAAAACAAGGGAAGCCCCCTTAAAAGGCTAGTTATCTATTAAATATGCACACGCTTGGCTTTTCAATTTAACAAAATTCTGTATCTATCTTTATCTATCGCATCGAAGGTAATTACACTTCACGAATTTTGTATACAACGGTTTATTTTTGTACTTTTGTTCTTCTGTTATTTTGGTACTTTTGTAAATGGCTATAAAAATAGACCTGTCATTTAAATGGATCTATTAAAAATTGTGGTTTTTCTAAAAATACAACTGGGTGTTTACGAAAAAAAATACCTGACTGCCATTTTGTCAGTTCAATTCCCATACCCAGATCAATTGCCGTTGCGGTTAAAATGGTTGTGAATTTGTATACCTTTTTTTTTATTTGATACTCGCTCACAAACTGAACAAGAGTATATTGGTTTTTTTTTTTGTAATGCCTTGCAATCGGCGTTTTTGAAGCTGGACATTTGAACTTGGAATTTTGTAATATTAAGTGCTTAAAATAGTTGACCACAGCTACTAAGGAGTGGTTAAACTGCAGATATAGCCAAACATAACACGTAAATCTTTATCTTCGATATTTTTGGGGCTGAAGTTGTTAAATTTTAACAAAAACCATAGAAAAGCTCCTCTTAAAATAGCTAATATCGGGGCGTGGCATATCACAAAATTGATATAAGTTGGTAAAGCTTGCTGTTACTTTTGAGCTGTTCTGAAACTGTGAACGTATATTAGGCAGTCGGTTACACCCAACTGCAATATTCTCACTAGCTGTTGTTGTTTTTTTTTTTTTCTCATTTGGCCCATTGTTGTGCCAGCTTTGACACCCAAGCCGTTGGCTGTATACAATTTGTTGGCGCTTTATTTT